CAACTGGGGTTGTGGCTCAGCGGCAGAGAGCTCACCTAGCATGGGCAAGGCCCTGGGTTCGATCCCCAGCACCACATAAAAATAAATAAATAATGATATTGTGTCCAACTACAACAAAAAAAAATTAAATATTAAAAAAAGATATTGTGTCCAACTAAGAAATAAATATTTAAAAAGAAAAAAGAAATATCTTTACTGTACATTATCCCTTGGCATGAAGAATCTGGATTCAGAAATTCCCTGCATGGATTCAATGAAAGTAAAGTAGCTGGCCACAGTCTTTGGTATAATCACAGGAAAGTCAGGTGTGAATATTCTAGCTACTTTCTACCAGGCAGCCTAGGTATATTAGGTAAAATCAAAACTTTCTTCTTTTAAAGGTAAAAAAAGAGCAAGTTAAATGAAAAAAGTGACATATGACTAGAGTTGTTAAAATCAGACTCATGACATGGTAACAAAGAGTCCTTTCAAGTCCACTCATCCCACCTCACTTACCAGAAAGCAAATTCTGAGAGCAGAGAGATCATTTCTATGTAAAATCAAAGATCTCATTTCTACGTAATTCTATACTCTACCTCTCCCCACCTCCCTGAAGGGTCAGGGTGGTGCTCATGCAGTTTGACTCCTGCCAATCAGGACTTCCTTTGTTTTGAGTATTGGCATGGTGGCACAGAGCACAAAGACAAAAGCAGGCCAGTAACCATAATGGGGTGACTGAAGGGCATAGGCTATGATTTAGCCTTGACAGCAGAAAGGCTTGGGTGGTCCTTTCCTGTATATTCAAGTTCAGTATTGAAATACAACGATACCTAGACATGGCTAAGGAAAGTCCTGATAATTCAACCTGTCTCTCCTCTGGAATAAAGAGGAATCACTCCTCACAAAAGACCGTGCTGTTTTACATGGCTCTGTGCCCAGCTTTATCCTGATGGTCCTAAGATTCTGGCTATTATGAGGTCTATACTCAAAGCAGGGCGTAAGCCAGGCAAGTCACTTGATACAAGGTCTCAAACCTATGAGAACTCAACTAGCAACTGGCCTCATTAAATGGAATCAGGACCTGAGTAAAAACTGTCTAACAAGTTTCATACTTCTTAGGGGTAGTTGGCAATAAACAAGGACAAAAGCCCTCCCAGCAAAGCAGCTCATTACCCTCTTCTATGGGCCGCGAACAGTGAACATCTCTTGGCTCACCTAGGGTTGCAGCAGGAAAAGGCCACAAGCAGTGTATACTGGAGGAAGGTTGGCAAGTAAAACAGGTAAAGGACTAGAGCAAAACACAGCAAGCTAGAGGGAGGAGCACTTGACTGAAGAACCCAAGCCAGTCCTAAAAATACCCTCTCACCCTACTCTTTCAGGAGCCCTAACCTCCAGAATACTTGGAAGACCATTCTGGGCTCTTCCTTCATTTTCTTTGTTTTTCTCAATTTCCAGCAGCTGATATCACTTAATTCAAAGCAAAGCCACACCTGTCAAAGATCTACAATGAACAAGCAAAGCAGAACCAGTTCTGACTTCTGCTCATTTGGGCCCAAGGGGTCTCAAGGTCAGTTTGGTGCTTTCTGAAGGACTCCTATTCTGGAAGCTGACATCAAGCTCATCCCCTAGAGTAGTTACAACGTAGCTGAAATTAAGGTCAATGCATGCAACATGACAGTGGAAGCCAGGAGGAAAGGGCCAGGTCTTTCTTTCTTTTTTGCAGTACTAAGGATGGAACCCAGGGGTGCTCTACCACTGAACTACATCCCAGCTTTTTATTTTTTATTTTGAGACAGGGTCTTGCTAAAAGGTGCTCAGGCTGGCCTTTAACTTGGAATCCTCCTGCCTCAGTCCCCCAAATCCCTGGGATTACAGGTGTGTGCTATCACACCCGGCCAGAGGTCTTTTCTGACAAATGCTAAAAACACAGAGAACAGATCTTTCCATAAACCAGCAAATCTCATATATTCTACCAATTTTGGGAAATGCAATAAACAAAGAAGCAATGACACAAATATTCCCAGAACATCTGAACCCAAGGCACTAGCCCCAATGTGTGTTCTGTGGGATCCTGAGCCAAATGGAGATTGGAGTTGTCAGAATGGCACAAACACAGAGTGCCGCTGTCAAAGTGGAAGAGCCATCTGGAAAACAGCCTTACCACCACTTCCACTCCTGAGAACCTGTCAGGCATCCTGACCCAGCGTACCCAAAAATGACTATGTTTGATTTTGATGGTAGCTTCTAAGTAAAACTAAAGTAACTGAGGCTTGCTGAAACTTTCCAACAGGTTAGGGACCTGAATGCCAAGCTGCAGCACACAGAAGACAAAGCCACAAAGCACTCAAGAGGCTGGTGTGTGCACAGTACAGTCTCCTGAGTGTCAAACTTACACCAGAGGAAAGCCCTCCCCACCCTAGACCCTGAGGCACAGGAACACTGGGCTGGGAGGAAGGGAAGGTTATCAACATGAGATTGGGAAGCAGGACTAGCTCGAAGAGGAAGATGATCTGGCTCTACAGGGAAAGCAGAAAGGGAGGAGGCTGGCAAAGAATCTAGGGTTTGGGCAGCTTCATACCAGCCAGAACACCCCATTAGCACAAAGCAAGGAAGTTATGTGTATGTCAGCCACACACAGATAGAAGCGGGGCTTTACCTCCAAGCAAGAAATTCTTTGAAGTAAAGGCAAATAGAAGTTAGCAAAGCAAAGGTCAAGGATTCCCCTTTCCAACCTTTACAGACTATCAAGCTGACTTCAAATCAGAAACCACTCTGGTCATCAACATTAGCTAGATGGGAACTGAATTTAAGTACCAGGAAATGGGGACTCACTTTGAGAGCTAGGTGTCACCTCATTATATCAGGCCTCAGCAGTCCTGGAACAAAGTACCACATGATACTACATAATGGGCTCATGGCAATGAGGCTGCATTCCCTGGATGGCGTTGCATGAGGTCTGTGCCATCCCTTAACATGGTGACAGTCAGTCCAAAAGGCCACATCTTGATGCACCATAAAGAGCAAGAGCATGAGACAAGCTAGTTTAGCACCATTTATTTGTGATCTCAGCTGTTGTTGTAGCTGCTGCGTGTCAGCCTGTTCTCAAAGCATAACATGCTCTTCCACTCCTCTTGTCCAGGACAGAAGGGTCTTCCAGGTGGCACGCCAACAGAACAAGAGACTCCGATGACGCCAGCTTCAATGATGGTGCCATCCAGAGAGGGAGAGGGTCATGGCACATTCAACCGCGGCTTCCAGAGGTTTTGAAAAAGGAGCCTTTGGGGGCCCAGCCTGCCTGGCATTCTAGTGAAAGTGCAAAAGGTAGCTCATTGGGAGAGGAAAGAGAGGAGGGCACAAGGGAAGGTGGCATCTGGGTCTCAAGGAGGGAGTTCTGGCCCTATGGCTGCAGGGCTGGAGTCCCAGAGGCAGGTCTCTGGGGGAAGCAGCGTGCAGTAGGCCAGTCTTCCAGCAGACTATGGCAGAAGTCCGCATGCTCTCCTAGACTCCGGGAAGACTTACACATTCTACAATAGTTAGGACGAACTGCCTTGAGGCATTAGAAGGAGAACAGCAGAGAGGGGAGAGTTGATGAAAAACACCTTTCCCTTTCCTGCCTAGGTGCAAAGCTGGCTTTGGGGATGGGTGTGGTTGAGTGGGGTGGATCTTAGGATCCTTGAAAATAAAGTCCCAGAAAACAATGTAGATCTCTCCAGCTGGCCTGAAGCTGACAGGAGGGTAAAAACTGTGTCTATCCCTGAACAGACAGCAAGACAGATTATCCTGGAGAAGAACAGTGCTACTACCGGACTGCTGAGGCAAGCAACCAGGGCCAGGCTAGCTAGTAACTGCTGGTGGTTACAGTGAGTCACAGCCGGTCATTTGATTTTGAACCAACTTCTGTGGCAGTGTTCCCAGTTAAAAGCTGGCACTTAGCTGGTATAAGCAAACTCCACCCACACCATTACCTGTGAATCCTTAGGAAAGAATCCCAAATGGTCTGCCTGCTGAACAGAATCACTGGGCTCACTACTAGTCTTTAGTAAGAACAGCAAGATGATGACATTATTACTAAAGATGATGACAGTGATAATAATATTTGGCCCTAAAGGAGCCTTCAGAAGGCTCTGCCGAGGACCCTCAGTTATAGATTAAGTCAATCTCACCAAAGCCTTGTATTACTGTCCCATTTTACAGCTGGGAAAACTGAAGCAGAGTTGCAGAGAATCTAGCCAAAGGCACATACTGATGGGGGGCCACAGGAGAAGCTAAACCTATGGGCCTGGCTCCTAGCTGGCTGGCTTTCCCTCTGCTTTCAAGACAATCTGACAGCCACTCCCCATGCTCTTCTCTAACCACCTGAGCTTACTTCTGACACCTGATTGCTGAAGGAGCAAGCCTCACCAGTGACGCTCACTGTGGACAGAGAGCTCCATTGCTCCAAATTTTGAGGAGAGGCCAAAGCTTCTTTCCCCTGTGCTCTCTATCTTCCCTTTGATTCTCCTCTCTCACACACTACCCTGATTCCTCTTCTACTTCAGCTCTACACACAGGGAATGGAGTCCTCATTCCTGATAAAAGTCAATTTCCCAGGATGAAGAAAACAGACTGAAGCTGACAGTTAAACAGACATGCAAAGTGGGATGAGGGATGGGTAGGGAAGAGGACTTCATTGTTAAATAAAATTATCTTTAAAAACATCCAGAAAAGGAAAGTATTTTGTCTTTCACTTTCAGAGAGTGATTAGTATAGGAAAGACAAGACAGCCTACTAGAAATGAAGCAGCCCTAGCAGTGCACCGGGTTTTTGCAGTAGGACTCTCTGCTCTAAAGCACCTTGCAGCGTAGGTGGGCAGGAAGCCTTGCCAACCAGAACTGCAGCAAGTGACCAGAAGCCTAAAGGGGGCTGGTCTGTCCCTTTTCCACAAGCCAGTCTCCTGTATGACCATATGCCTCTGGGCCCAACTATGGAGCTACTTCTGCTAAGCTCAGGGACCTGTCCCCCCCAGCACCCCCAACACGTACTTGATGCTGTCGGTGTGAGTTTTGTATTCCATAATGGTGTTGGGAGGTAGGTTAAGCACGCGCCGAAGCGTATCCCGGATTCGGGCTGTGGTTGCTTGGTCGCTGGCAGTCTTATTCCATATGGAAATAATGTCCTCCTATGGGAGGAACAGAAGGTATCATCAAAGCAAACCAGAGGCAGGAGGTAAGCAAGAGCAACACATGAAAGCAGACTGGCCTAGGGTAGCTTACCTGAAAGCGGACAGAGACCACAGCCCCACAGATCTCCTCCCCAACCATGAACTGTTCTCCCAGCATGGCCAGGATGAGATTCTCCCAGCAACGAGAGGCCAAGCCCTTCCGCAGCCGGATAATCCACTTGCCACCATTTTTATTTGCATCATCCTACAAAAAGAAAGAGTTATAGCTAAAATAATGGCTCATGACTTTTTCTTGCACATTAAACAGTAGAAAATCAAGAATCTTGGGCTGGGGTAGTGGCTCAGCAGTAGAGTGTTTGCCTAGCATGTTCAAGACCCTGGGTTCGATCCTCAGCACCACATAAAACAATAAATAAAACAAAGGTATTAAAAAAAAAAAAAAGAAGAATCTCTTAAATACTAACAAATCTGGTTGTAATTTCTAGTTCTCCAAAATATTATTTTATAAAAACGTGGTAAGACTACAGAAAGGGTTGGGGTTGTGCCTCAGTGGTAGAGCGCTCGCCTAGCACGTATGAGGACTGGATTTGATTCTCGGCACCACATAAAAATAAATAACCTTTACTGGTTATTGTGTCCACCTATAACTAAAACAAAACAAAACAAGACTAGGGAAAAATGAAACAGAATAGCAGCAACAACAAAAAACAAGGCAGGGATTCTTGGTACAAGCCATTTTTTAAAAAAGGCTAAACTGGGGCTGCAGTTATGGTTCAGTGGTAGAGCACTTGCATAGCATGTGTGAGGCACTGGGATCAATTCTCAGCACCGCATATAAATAAATTAATAAAATAAAGGTCCATAAATATCTAAAAAAGTAAAAAAAAAAAAAAGGCTAAATAAAACAGATCTTTAAAGACTAATCCCTTTTAATTAGAACTACTTTACGAATCAAAATGAAATGTCATATTTCTTTTTTTTTTTAATATTTATTTTTTAGGTGTAGTTGGACACAATGCCTTTATTTTATTGACTTATTTTTATGGGGTGCTGAGGATCGAACCCAGGGCCTTGCACGTGCTAGACAAGTGCTCTACCGCTGAGCTAGAAATGCCAGATTTCAAACAGACCATTCATTCATCACTTCATTTGCTACAATTTACTGAGTGTCACCAAGTATCAAGTACATAGATACAAAGCCCCAGAATCTACTTAGGTCCAATGTAGTACAGGAGACAGTTAAGAAAATTAACTACAGCCAAAAAGTCTGACAAGTGCTGCTGTAACAAGAAAACTGCACAGTAAGACAGAACCTGACAGCTGGAAACACTGAAGAGCAAACTTTTTTTTTTTTTTTTTTTTGTGGTGCTGGGGATGTGTATGTGAGGCAACCACTCTACCACCTGAGCTATATCCCCAGCCCAAGAGCAAATATTTAAGCTGGTCTTGAGGGAAACAGGAGTTTGCGGGTAAAGGCATTGAAGGCACCACAAAGAACATGCTTTTGTACTAACTGCACTTCAGTGGGATGTGAATAGGAGAGTCTAATTGCATAGAACAGATTTAGGGGTGATGGGAGATGAAGTCTGAAAGGCAAATAAGGCTTAAGGTCACATGAACAATAAGAGATGCATAAAAGCTGGGCAGTGTCTTATGCCAGTAATCCCAGCGACTTGGGAGCCTAAGGCAGGAGGATCACGAGTTCAAGGACAGCCTGGGAAAGACCTGCCTCAAATTAAAAAATAAAAAGGGCTGGGGGATGTAACTCAGTGAAATTGCCCCTGAGTTCAATCCCCAGTACCAAAAATAAAAACAAACAAACTGCATAAAATATGGGGAATGGGATGTATGTGGCCACATCCATCTTCTAGAAAAATGCCCTGGCATCAGAAGAGATGCTTTATGCTGGGCTGGGGCTGGGGCTCAGTGGTAGAGCGCTTGCCTAGCAGGGGTGAGGCATTGGGTTCAATCCTCAGCACCACATAAAAACAAACAAATAAAATAAAAGTTAAAGGTTATATTCTTAAAAAAGAAAAAAAGAGATGCTTTATGCCAGAGCACAGCCAACTAGTAGCTCAACTATGGGTCTCCAATTATGGCCTTTTATTTTCCTATCACTTTATACTATGTACAAGTATTACATGCACAAATACACACAAATTCTATGGGAACAGGTAAGGGCAATTTAAAAAAATTCTTTAATGCTGTAACACCATCTGAGTTAACACCACCATCTTTAAAAACACCCAGCACCAACTCATACAATCAAGCAACAGCATCAGTGCCTTTCCCCAGAGGTCCAGATTCCAAGGGTGTAGCAAATAGTGCTGCAGTTGAGAGGACACTTGAAATAGTTTTAACCTTGGTAGGGCTTCAACAAACAAACAAACAACAACAACTTGCTCAAAAAAGCAGTCCAAGGCCCTCAGTCCTCACCTCCCACATGGGTTTAATTCCTTCTTTGAAGAGATGGAAGTCACTGTGGCCTGTCAGGTCCCCGGGACGTACCATGTGGCTATAAAACCTCCAGAACTGCTCCACCTGCAGAGAGAAGACCCCAAAATACCAAAGATGTATCTTTTCCTTTTTCTTTGAATTCATCCAAAGGTGCAAGAACATAGGCATAGAAGGCTCTGCTCCAGCTTTCCTCTTTGGAGGACACTTCCATTTGGAGCACTGTGTGGAAAGGAAGGTGTTATAAGAGAAAAAGCCTTAGTTTGATCAAAGAAAAATGTACCACTGGCAACACAAGAATAAACTCTAGGTGAGGACTGCTAGCCTCTGCCAGGAGCATGAGGTGACACCACGTCAATATGGGCCTTCCCACTGAAGAGGACTAGTTTTCTGTATGATGGAAATCCACTAGTCATGAGGTATGTAAGTACCACACAAACTCAGCCTGAATGCCTTTTTCAGAACGAAATCAATTCTTGATCAAAGACTGTTTAACTAGCAAATATAGCATTAGCTGGAACAAAATACATTTTAGTTTGTTTTTAGTTACTAAGTCTAAGCAACAGCAGCATCTGCATGTACTACTCTGTACCAGCATACCCTTACTAAGGCTAAAACGTACAAAATCAAACAGGATGAAGTCTCTCAGAGGTTATGTTCACATCCCTTTCCTTAGCTAAGAAAACTATTTCTCCTTGTTCCTCCTTCAGGTCTTCATAGAAAATGAGACATATTTCTCTATCAAATGTCTGCTCAATGATATTGATCATTCTGGTCCCATTTCTCTCATCAGTGTCTTGATGAGGGCACTATTGCTCTGTAATTTTCAGAGGATACCTACTAAGTACTGGCCAGTGAAGAGGCACACTTAAAAAGTAATAGCCTGAAGAGAAACTGCTGGTGTTTGTCAACACCAAGCTGAGGAGGCCAAATCAACACACAGCAAGACACCATAATTGCATGATGGAAAATGGATACTGACAGACATTCAAGTCAAGATTTGATGATAAATGAGGAGAAACCAATCTTACACCCTTACTGTATGCAATGGCTGCCTCCTTCAGTTCCTCTCTGGAATAGGAACACGTTAAATGCTTTACACATATAAAACAAGTCAGGAACTAGTGCTATTCGTAGGACTTTAAGCAGTGCAATACCTCAGCAACTGCTAGGCTTAACTGTATACAGTGATTTGGAATATTCACTAAGTTGCTGAGGCTGGCCTCAGACTTGCATTCCTCTTGCCTTAACTTCCTGAGTCTCTGGGATTACAGGCCTGGCTAGATTACTGTTCTTCAGATTCACCAAGTGTTCACAACATAAGGACTGCCAATTTACTTGTACTGTCTAGCTTTCATTCCCACAGAGCAGGCAATTGAAACTTTAGTGATGGGATTCTGAAACATTAGAAAAGTATGTATACTTCAAAAGCTTAATTCTATTGTTCCCTCTGCCAAGAATTCCTTTCTCATAATATGTTCAAATTCTCTAAGACCCCAACTTCCTTGGAATTCCAGGTGCACCAGCCATACTTTTCCTGCAGTTCCATTCACTGTCTATTCTATATTAGAAATCCCTAGTCACACAGTGGGTATGCCTGTAATCCCAGCTGCCTGGGAGGGATTACAAAGGATCCTAAATTGAAGGCCAGCTTGGGCAACTTAAGCAAGACCCATGTCAAAAAAAAAAAATCCCAGACATGCCCCAAGAACAGGCTCCATAATTCTTTTTAGAACATTATTAGGGTCTTGAGTTCATTCAATGAAGTTTTTTCCAGCTCTGTGATACTAGGAATTGAACCCTTGCATGCCCAGCAAGCACTCTACCACTGAACCACATCCTCAGCCCCTTAAAAAACATTTCTTGAACCAAATATGCACCATTGTACAAGCTATTTGTAATATTTCAAACAAGCCCAAATTTACCAGTGATGAGGCAGCACCAACAAGTCATTTGCATAGGGCTGAATACTATCACCTCAGCATAGCAATATTGTTGATCTCACATTCAAGAGACAATTTATTACCAGTTAAATAGGTATATCTGACTAATAATAAATACAAAAATAAAGTTTGGCTAATGAGAACAATTTTAAATTGTAGCCTTTGGTCTTCTTTTTGGTGTACTGTGAAATCTTCCCTTCATATCCTACCTGAATTGAATTTCAATAGTGGCTCCCACTTAATCAATTCAGTAGCAGAGGACTTGAGACCTCATAACAGATACTTTATCCAGATCTCACTTTCCTCATTTGCAAAATATGGATAATATCACTAATCCCATAGGGCTATTTTAATGATTGAAGGAAATTACATAAAGTCCTATTATTTACTGTGTCTTAGTATATTAGACACAATAATGTCATGCCTTATTGCAATGTTTACAATTATAGTATTCTTTTCCAGTTCTACATTTGAAACAGGACAAATATGTCAGTAAGTTTAACAAAGTGACATATCCTGCATCTGCTTCTGTTCACAGACTGAATGTATAGCACATAGTTAGTGTGTAATAGTCTTTGTTGAACAGACTCCCATTAGCTTCAGTCAGTACCTCCAAGTTCACAAATCTAGTCACCTGGGAGGGAAATAAAACAGAACCTGGACACTATACTGATGGTACCCACAAAAACAATTATTAGAGATTTCATTTTCTTTCTAAACACAGGAAAAAGATGCTACTTTACAACAGTTACTCTCATGGCTAAATCCTAATAGAAAGCTCTTAAATACAAAAAAAAAAACAAAAAAACAAAAAAACTTTCAAACTTTGCTTTCAAATTTATTGTCTAAGTTTGTGAGGATGAAGACCATATAGTTTAAAATTTTGTGTCCCCCAATTACACTCTGCATATAAGGACTCAACAAATATATCTGCTTAAAAAAAACAAAAAACTGTCAGCTGCAGCCAGGCATGGTGGCTCACACCTGTAATCCCAGCAACTTGGGAGGCCAGGGCAGAAGGATCACAAGTTCAAAACCAGCCTCAGCAACTTAGCAAGGCCATGAGCAACTTAACAAGACCCTGTCTCAAAATTAAAAAATAAAAATAAAAAGGCTGGGGATGTGACTCAATGGTTAAAACACCCCTCAGTTAAACAAACAAACAAACCTGTCAGATGTGCACAGCAGCACAGCCTATAATCCCAGCAATTTCAGAGATTGAGGCAGGAGGATCACAAATCCAAGGACAGCCTGGACAACTTAACAAAACCTTGTCTCAAATAAATAAATAAATGGGCTGTGGGTGTGGCTAAGTGGTAGAGCATCCTTGAGTTCAATCCCTATACCACAAACAAAAGGAAAAAAAATTTTTTTTGTATTATACCCTTCTACGGTTAACTGTGGATGTCTAACGAGAAACCTAAGAACAAACAAGTCTGACCTTGGAGACTCAGGTTAGTCAAGTAAGGAAAGCAGAATGTTAAACAAGTTTTACCAGGAAGGTACATAAACACAGCCACAGAAACACAGGCATGAGCATTCTGCCAAGGCACACTCCATTAAACCACTAAGTACTTACAGAGGCAAAGGTGCCAATCTGCTTGATATTCTGTTCATAGCTCTGAGAGCTGGTGGGACGGCCTGGGGTCCTCCTGGAGTACCAGAATGTATAGTTGTACTGCAGGGGATGCTCTGCTGGTCCAGGAACAACAGCCTGGAAAGTAAAAAAGGGTGGGTTCGCCTAGGCATTTGTCATGCGCTCTGTAACTCTGAAACATTTAACAGTGTTATTCCCTACTACTTTCACAATTAAAAAAGAACATAAGGTTGGGGTTGTGGCTCAGTGGTAGAGCACTTGCCTGGCATGTGTGAGGCACTGGGTTCGATTCTCAGCACCAAATATAAATAAATAAATTTTTCTAATGGTTAACCAACTCTAAACTCCTATTAACACTTTACCCGTGTTCTTACGGCTCTTATGACTTTCCACCTATATCACAGACATTTATATTTGTTATGCCTGGTCCAAGCACTGCCTCCTCCAGAATACTCTTATCATTTAAGAGTGGCAAGTTGTTTAATCTGCTTGTACCTCGGTTTCTCACTTGCAAAATGGGGAAATTAATAATGGCCATCTGAAACGGCTGCTGAGAGGGTCCAATGAATTAGTATATGTAAAGTGCTCAGACAGTATCACAGTAAGTGCTCAATATCAGCTACCCTTTTTTACTGTTATTAAATGTGAGCCCCTCAATCCACAGTCTCATTCACCTTCGTGTCTTCATAACGCCTAGCAGAAAACGCTTGCACTTGGAGGTATGCAATACTGTAGAATAAATAAATTAATGACTGCCTTGATAGCTCAAGGAAAAAGCTGATCTACCTAGCTCTCATTCCCTAAACTTTTTCTCTTCCATGTCATTTTCAATTCAGACTATTACTGACTACAAAGTCTAAAGTTTGGAGGGATGCATACAATTTGAAGAACTGAGCGGCAATTTCTGAAGCAGCCAGCAGCCTAGCTAGCTGAGTGCAACAACTGGGCTTGCTCAAGGTGGGCGAGGTGAATTCTGTAGGCCAGACAGCACCTCAAGATATGACAAGAGGAATGTTCTAAGTCCCAATCACTGATGTGTTCAGTGAATCCACAATTTTTTTTTTTTTTTTTTAAGAACAAAACCAGATATTACAAAACAGAGTACTACAACGTTAACCCGATGTCTTCCAAATAAACAGACTCCACAAGACAAACACAACTCATCCAGAGGCAACTAGGCCTGCGCAGCACAAACCGCACCTTCCTCTTGCTACTGCTCTGGCTCTTGTCTCGCTCCGTTTTTTCCTTCTCACCATCTTTCTGTGTGCTGTTTTCTTCATTCTGATCGTGGTCCCCACTGTCATCATCTTTCAAGCTGAAAAGAAAGACAAAGTAGTGTTATTTCATGACTAAGCTGATTCCCATAGGGAATAATTCCCGTTATTTAATAGAGTCACTAGATCATACAACCTACCATGTAACCAACCCAGTCACTCATATTGCGGGCCTGTGAGATGCACATGACATAAAGGAATGTCTCACAGAGTTGCTTAGTGCCTCACCATTGCTGAGGCTGGCTTTGAACTTGAGATCCTCCTGTCTCAGCCTTCAGAGTTGCTGGGATTACAGGTGTGCACCAACGCACCCAGCAATAACGATAAGTTTTTTCTTTTTATTTAAATACTTTTTTTTTTTAGTTTTAGATGGACACAATATCTTTTATTTTACATTTATGTGGTGCTGAGGATTGAATCCAGTACCTCATGCATGGTAGGCGAGTATTCTACCACTGAGCCACAACCCCAGCCCCACGAGAAGTTTTTCTATCAAATAACTCCTTTGCATTTCAAATGAAGGTTAATCTTACCTATATATATTGCCACATTTCTTTCTTTCCATGTCTCCTAGACTTCCCCATTGTTAATGCCTTAGTTTAGGCCATCTTTTTCTGTCATCTCAATCACTACGATAAATCTCTAAATGGGCTCCCTAACACACATCTCTACCTATCCTCCACAACATGAAATGTATTATCTGACTGCAAATCTGATTATTTAATTTTCATCCTAAGACTGTCAATTGTCCTTTAATGCCTAGCCTTGAGGATGATAAAGTACAATGAAATGTAAGATCCTCTAGAATCTGACTCGTGTCATTGGCATTCCCTTCCTCTGTTCCTTCTAATAACCTATATTCCCACCACTTACAAACACCATCCCTTCAAGATGATGTGTCATATTTCCCATGTCTGTTTTTCCTACCACATGGAGGGTTCCCTCAGAACAATGTCTTACATCATCTCAATATCTCCTGCCCCTGGGACAAGAACACACTAAAAAATTGTTGAATGAAAAGGGCAAATAAATGCCCAACAGAATGAATGAATGTGTTCTTGCCTCATAAGCATAGTCAAATGCACTTTAGGAGTTACCCTTTCAAGCACAGAGCAACTACCTCAAATCTACTAATCCAGGTAAAACTATAAACAGATTGTGAGTTTACAAAGATAAGAATGCCATTTATTCTACAGCTAGACTATTCACTTATTATGGGATTTTTCCAGAATCAACTTTCTGGCCTCATAACTATATGTATACTCAATGGAATTAGGCAATTGTCAAGAAAGATACCAATGATGCAAAGTATAACCACAGACATTATCATATGAAGACATAGAAATGTGTCCTAGGAAACTGCATTTGTAGGGTTTTTTTTGCCTACGAATCCCCATTGCCTAACACCAAAAACACTTGAGAAATAGGAGAACAGATTAATTAGCTGTGTGTTGAGATGCCTGCCCTAGCTGTAGGAGATACTCCGGTAGTTGTAACCTGTGCCATGAGCCTCCCCATCCCCACCATGAAATGTATTATCTGACTGCAAATCTGATTATTTAATTTTCATCCTAAGACGGTCAATTGTCCTTTGATCTTTAATGCCTAGCCTCGAGGATGATAAAGTACAATGAAATGTAAGATCCTCTAGAATCTGACTCGTGTCATTGGCATTCCCTTCCCCCAAGCAGTCCAGCTTGGGCAATAACCTGTGACTCAAGGCCTAGCTCAAAAATATAAGCAATCCTCCCTCAGCATTTCACCCAAGAGAGGAAAGATCACAGATATGAAAGCTGGGGCAGCCACAAGGGCCCCATGTAAGAAAAGCCATGAGAGAATCAAGACAAGGAGTGAAAACAGCAAGCTAGTTGAGAGAGATTGGAGAAGAGAGGATAGAGAGGCAAGTTTGGTTGTTGTTGCCAAAATGGCCATCTCTCTCTGGCTTAGTTCAGCCTCCCTGGACTTCTGGGAGACCCTTATCTACGCTTATGATACTTCCTCCCCTCAATCAAACTTGTGTTTATTTTCCTTTTCAAAAGGAGTCTACCTAGTACACAAGTTCTGTGGATCCAAATTTACCAACATCTACTAAGCATCTACTCTTATCAAGACCTAACTGAGGAGATATGGTACACAGATATTCATGTCCCAGCATAGTGCTAAGGCCCCTGTTATGCCCTCTTTCAACAGCATTTCCTGCCTCAACACACTCCTCTCACTTAGTTGCCTTAATTTAATTGCAGTTCTCTAATATCACCTGTCATGATCAGCATGTGGTCTTGACTCCTCCCTTAATTAACTATCCTTCAGGACTCACTTTCTCCTGGAAATATCTCCCATCAGAAGCAACGTCAGTCTCCCCTCTTCTGAACTTCCCCATATAAACACGTTTACACTTGTCCCTGCTATGTATTGTCATGGCCAGTTTTTGGCCACCTAATCAAGAACATCTCATGGGTCTTTCTAGGCTTAGGCCCAGGATATCTTCTAAATCCTCAGGGCACAATGCAGGGATACAAACTGCACTTTTCTCTTCTTAGCTTCCAATCCCAATGACAGCTGCTGGGGTCTTCTTGGCAGAAGAAGGGCAGTCACCCAACATCTCTCATTTTTGTCATCCCTCAAAGCATTTAAGTTCCTTTCTTTTTAGGGGTTTTGCTGCTGATCACTAGTAGAAACCAGGAAGAATAAGAAAACCTAATGCATCTTCATCTAGTGCTTTTACTTCCTTACCTCCTGAGCGGGAGCTGGCCAACCACCCTGCCCTCTGAGACTATGCATAAGGCAAATCTTTTGCAACCTATTTCCAAGAGGTTGCGCTTCCCAGATCAAAGCTGGATTTGAGCCAAGCACTGAAAAATCAGTGCTCCATAAGCTCATGGCGACAATCAGGACACGAGGCTGTCCAGACTGTGTAGTACCTTGGTTAGCTCACTAAGCTGCTGCCCAGGAATTTCTTCACACTCTGAACTAGACCCATTCCTTATAGTAGGAATCTGAAGCCATCTTTCTATCTCCAGCATCTGACAGTGGCAGAAAACAAACATTTGTTTAATTCATGGATCTAAAATACGAAAGCAATAAATGCCAAATAAGTGGTTCAGACAGCAGTTAAGAAAGGGCTAAAAGGTAATTTATATAGACTACGGTCAAAATCAAGTATGGTATCTAGAAAACCAAAATCTGAAACCTGATTGTTTATCACAATCAGGACTGCAGTTCTTGAGAAATCATCTTAGAGTTTTACATGTCAACAGGATCCTACAATTTCATATCTTCTTCCCCTAAAAATAATTACAACCTTGGGGCTGGGGATATTGCATGCATAAGGCTCTGGGTTTAATCCCCAGCACCACCACCAAAAAGAAAAAAAAGTAATTACAATCTGGTTACATTCAGAGAAGAAGACCTACATGGTAAAGGAGGTTTGAGCTCCTCTCTACTCTCTTGAGTCCACAGATTATATTACTGTGCTACCAGCTCCAGGAACCTCACTTTGAGGAAAGCTGGAATACATCCCTTGTGGTGATGTGGTAAAGAGTACAGACTCCAAATATGTAACAATAGTTTAAACAATAAAATCAAAACTAAGGTCATCAATTTCTAATTAAGAAAGCTGGTGGTGAAGCACTTGGGCAAGCCAGAGGCCCTGGCTTCCATCCCCACACACACATACAAAAGAAAACATTATTGTTTTCCCCCTTTCTTTCTTTTTTTCCTGAAAAGCTAGGGGACAGATATTAAAAGATTCTGGCTCAGTACAACAGTTAATAATCAGAAATAATTAAAATGACTCAGGTTAACTTCTATCAGGAGATGCCTGAACCAAAGTAAAATAACAAATCTGGGTGGGCCCTTTCTATTGTTTTGGGCAAGCTACTCAAGCCAGAGAGCCTCATATTCCTTACAAAGAGGTAACAAGATCCCATTTGCAGAGAATTAGAAAGAAAGAAACACCCTGCAAGACTCCTTTCAGGTTTGCAATATGATCTGGTCAAATAAATGGAGGAGGGATATAAGGGTTACAAGAAAGCTCCACTGAAGTAGGATTCGGATCTGGAGCTAGGAATTGTTCACCTTAGGATGGGAGTGAGGGGTCCATACACTGATTGACTCAACTAAGCTGCAGGATGGAGAAGATCCCTACTTTTTCAAGAATCAGAGACCTTTCAGTAAGCAAGAAACATGCCTGAAGAGCTGCAGAGTACACTGGAAACCCAGTAGCCCTGAATTTGCACAACAGCACCCATTATATTGGGGGAAAAAAACAATTTCTGTCGGCAACACCAGGTCAAAACCTATTAACAGTAATCCCACTTTGCATTTATAACTGCATTAATTGGCAATCTAGACAATTTGCTGACTATGGCTGGCTTCCTCCAGCAGGGTATTAACATTAACGTGGGGTGACAACAGCTCAGACATTGGGGGACTTTTCTGTTGTCAAACAACTGGAGGATCTGGGACTAAGATCTGGGTCTTCGGATAGGAGACAGATTAGACTAATAGAAAGGAGGTAAAAACATGATCTACCTCAAGGTACAACTGTTGTAATACCCTTATCTATGTACTGTTAAAAGATACGAACAAAAATTGTAATGCAAAAAGATACAATCATTGGAAGGACCTGTATTTCCTCTCCGTACCCCTAAATTATGTGACGCTGGGACTAGGGATTAGAGTGGGTCCTAGGGAGTGCAGGGTGGGCCCGCCGTGCCGGGAGCCGGGAACCAGATGGGGAGGCGAAAGAGCAGAGTCTCAGGAAGAGGGTGAGAATTCCGTCACTGCCGCGCGGCAGCCACACGGCCTCATCACAGCTGCACTACGCCGGCTGTTACCGTCCCCACTTTGCAGAGGAGAATACCGATGCCCAGAGGAGCCCGGCGACCTTGCCCAGCCAGGAGCTTGCGTGAGGAAAACCGGGCTGGCAGGCCGGGCTACGGAAACCGCCAAGCCGCCGGGGTCTCCACCCCTCCAAGCCGCCGCACCCCGCACCTGGGGCGGGGCCGCGGGAATCTCCTCCTTCCGGGCGGCTCGGCCACCCCTCCCGCGGGCCCCGCGCTTCGCCCTCGGTCCCGGCGGCCCTGGGGTCCCCGGCCCCCTCCTCCCCACCGCAGGGCCCGTGCGGCCGCGGCCGCTGCCGCGCCCTGGAGGGAGGCCGATGCCGCAGAGTGTGCGCCGCCACGTCCCAGCGGGGGCGGGCGCGGGGGGAACGGTTGGGGGAAGGGGCCCCGGGGGGCGGCCACGCGCCACTCACGCGTCGAACTTGTTGTTCATCCTTTCGCCGCCGCTGTCGCCACTATCTCACAGAGTGACTTCCGTTCTGCCTGGTCCCTCCGGCAAGGGCCCGGCCACTTCCGGTTGCACGTGGCTCAGCGGAACGTCGGCGCGCAGGTCCGGAGCGGGACAGCTTTCCCGGGGCGCCGGCTCAGGGAGGATGCGCACAGGCGCCGGCCGGCTGCGGAGCCTAGGGCTGTTGGGGCGTCTGTGGGCCGCGCCAGGGCTCTGCGCTGGCTGTCGGGTGCAAACCCCGACTCCACCTTCGGCGCGGCGACGCGGCCCGGTGCCTCTCTAAACCTCCCCAGGCCAGTTCCCCTGGCACTGCTGTCCAGTAGAGCTGACCCACCTCGGCAGGTTGCCGTGTGGATTCCGGAGTGGCAGGTGCCAGACTCAGGAACCCACGGTTAATGGTAGCCAGTGTTCATCTCTGAGTGCTTACTGTGGGCTGGGAGCTGGAGCTTATCCTCGGCTCTCTGAGCCTTCCTGAGAGGCTAGAAAGTCGCACCATGGTGACAAAACTAATAAGGAACCTGAGATTGTCCCACCGTAATTGTATCCTGGGTGGAAGCCTCACCCCCATCCTCGCCACTCCCTAAGACCCTGTGGTCATGACCGCCCCAGGTACATCACACACATAATCGAGTAAATAAAATGAACCTGCTGGCAGTGGAGCCCCAAAGCCAACAACCTGGCTTGGGGGAGGACTTATTTCCCGGGTCCCCTCTTCCCGCCTTTAGGTGACACTTTCACAGTTTTGAATCACTATTACTCCCATCTCTGGTCCTGTGGCGAGGCTAATATAGAAACTAACACCTGTATCTATATTACGGACGGGTAAGCAGTCTTAAAGAGGCATAAGTGACTGGCTCATGGGCACCTGCAGAACTCAGGCCCTTCTGTGCTCAGAGCAGGGCCATGCCTCTACCCCAGGAAGACTATAGCTGATCGTCTTATTTCCTGATAAGTGGGGCCAAGAGAGTCTGATCAAGGTCTCCTTCTGGAAGGCAGAGCCCAGTGGCTCTTTGTTAATCAGCTTCCTGCTTAGTTAGCTCTTCCTTGTTTTAACCATGCTTTGGAACCAGTGCAAAGGCCCTGGCTTTAGAGAAGAGTGGGAAGAAAGTCTACTTTTCAGGCCACAGACTCTTTCTTAGAGTGTCTGAGATTAGGTCAGAGTCAGGAATTCTGAACTCCAAACCTCCCTGAATCACCAGTATCTGGAGGAGTCCCTCTTATTTTGGGCCCAAATTTGCCCATATGGCACAAGGGGGGAATAGTGACTCTTTCCTTTCTGTGATGTTGTGAGGAACTGTTAGCAATGAAAAAAAAAATGATACAACCTGAGAAATCTTCTGTGGTCAATGACACAAAAAGCACATGAGGGGAAAGTCACTGGTGGCTCTTGGGTGCTTATAGCACCCAGGAATAGGGAGCCACATGCCAGCTGGCATGGGCTGCCACCCTTCTTTTGAGAGGGCTCTTCACACCTCTCTTGATTTGCCTTCCTTCAGGGAGGACTCATCATCCAGCTGGAGCATGATATAAAACAAAACAAAGGGTTTCACAATGATGGGAGATGATGCTTTGCTGGAGAGAGAGGAGTGGGCTAAGCAGAGGAATGGTTAGTGCCAGGGCCATCTAGCTGATGTTATGTGGGTGCCAACCCCAGCAACACACCCTGACCACAGCCCATCATCCCTAACCACTCCAGGACTCCAACTCTGTCTCTTTATTTCCCCAGCTCTTCCCAAAGAGCGTCCTCATGACCTCAGCAGTGCAGCACAGCTGATAAGACAAGTTGACCCACAAATATGACTCCTGTATGTCCAGCAGCCATTGGTTGACTCAGTCTGGTGGGGGCAGGTAGGGGCGGGGGTCTCCAGGGAATGGCTGGGCGGGCACCCGGTTATAGTGGGCCATGAGGAAGATGCCAGTAGTGCCGCAGATGAAGAGTGAGAGCATGGCCAGGAAGCAGACGCGGTCCAGCACGCGGCCCACCAGGAACCACTCCTCATTCCCCTGAGGGCAGGAGCAGGGAGGGAGGTGACTGTGGCACCCGGCCTGCCCTGGCTCCCTCTTCTGTCCTTGGGCCTCCATTCTCCATATCTGGGGGTGCTTCCCACCTCCCTCCAGGCTCCAGCCTGTCTTCTTCCACGGTCCCTCTCCCTGAGGACCCTCCTCCTCCCGGTTGCCAGCTCCACCTTTTCCACCCACTGCCCTCTCCTGGACACCCCATTCGCCTTCCCCCATCTCATGCTCATGTACTCATGTACTCTGGACACCCCACCGGTCCGAGCCTGACCCGGCTTACGCTGTCAAAGTGAGTCTGCTGGTGCCGGGCGCGGGCAATGAGGTTGCAGGCGTCCACACAGGCCTGGATAGCAGGGGCGGCCTGTTTCAGGCTGCCACAGAACTCCTGGCTCTGTCCTGGCTCTAGGCCTTTCTCTGATGGGGAGAGAGTACAGCTACTCTCTGATGGAGTGTAGACAGTCAGGTCACTCGCCAGTGGGGTGTATCAGAGAGTAAATGGAGGAGAAACAGGCAGAGAAGTTGGCCTTTCCTTTGAAACCCCAGCCCCTCTTTCCCCAGCTTGGATGCTTGTCCAACACCATCTGCTGCGCCCGGCTCACCAACTGGAGTCCCTGGGCAGGAGTGTCCCCAGTGGCACCCTGGGCCTCACCTAGCTTCTCCAGTGCTGCCTTCATCAATCCATTGCGCTGTCGCTGCCGAAAGAGGAGTTCACTGCGTGGCAGGCAGAGAGCCACCTCCTCCCCAGTTGTGATGGACCACCCTGAGGAGGAGCCATTCTGGAGCCTGGGGCGGGTGTCCTGCATAGTGGGTGGAGCCAGTGGGCGAACATGCATCCGTAGCAGCTGTGGCAGGAGCCGCAGGAACACCTACAAAGGGTGTTGCTCTGGGTGGCTCAGCTTGGACAGCCAGGCTGAGCTTTGGAGCTAAAGCTGGACATTTGCAAGAAAGACTCATGCTGCTAGGTCTTAGAGGCAGCATATTAGGGTCAGTGGCCTGGCCCTGGTACAACTTGGCTGTTGTATCCTGAACATGGACACTGAGACCTCAAACTTTTGTGCATATAAGAATCACCAGGGTGCTTGTTACAAACACAGATTCCTGCCTCCTGTCCCCCATGCTTGCTCTTCTGGCTTAGAATGCCTGGGTGCCTGGGAATCTGTATGTGTAACAAGAGCCTCAGTTATCTGCTTCAGGTAGACACACAGATTCTGAATCAGACTGCTTCCTCCATTTTCTGGCTGTGTGACCTTGGATAAGCTACTTAACTGCTCTGAGCCTTGGTTTTCTCATCTATTAAATGAAAATGATACTAATATCCACTTAATAGGGGTTTTATAAAGATTAAATAAGCTCACATATGTAATCTCCCTCCCATCACCATCCATCCATCCATTTTAGCACGTGCTTGAAGGTTCATAGAGAACGGGTTTGCTGCTGAATATGACCAGGACGGGCACAAAGGTAAGCGCATGTGAATGGCTGGACAGGAGGATGCTGGGGTGGGCAGGGAGGGGCCTTACCTTTCGAACCCCTCGGGCCATAGAGTGTGTATGGGGGGACCGCAAGGATACGTTGAGTACCACCACAGCATTCACGACAATGAGGATGGTCACCACCATGAGGAAGGTCAGGTACCTGTCAGGAGCAGGTGGTCGGGGCTGGGTGGCCCTCAGGCACCCTGTGCACAGACTCCCCCACCATAAGCGGCTCCTCTCCTCAGGTCCCCTGGCAGAGGGTGGTGGGGTGGAGGGATGGGGAGGGCCAAGCTGGGGTCTTGAGAAGGGAGGGGAAGGGTGGGCAGGAGACAGGACTGGCCTTACTTGCTAATGAGTGGCACTGCCTGCGAGGTCTCAGGTACCTTCTTGGCCACCAGGAAGAGGAAGACGGTCTGGGCCAGGAGCACATTGATGGCCACTGTGCACTTCTGGCCGCCCGCTGACCATGACGGAGAAGCCCTCAGAGCAGGTCTCCCCACCTCCTCCCTCCCTGCCCTCAGAGGAGCCCCTCACCCCACATGGTTGGTGCTGCTCTGTGCCTGGGCAGGGCCTTCTTCCCTGCCCTCCCAGTGGTCCCCTATGCTGGACAGGGGCATGCTCCCCTCCCATGGGTTCCAGGTACCCTTGGCAGGCAGGAAGTAGATAAGGATGGCCACAGAGGAGATGAGCACGCAGGGGGCGATGATATTGATGACGTAGAAGAGGGGCTTGCGCTGGATGAGCAGGTAGAACACCACCTTCTGGTGGCCTGCCTCCTCAGCTGGCGCCTCTGCGTCCAGCAGCATCTTGGCTGGTCGGTGCTGGATGGCCCACTCCCCGTTCTCTACAGGTGGGCGAGCAGGCGTGGGCACATCAAGGGACACCAGTGGGGTGGGAGAGTGGGTATTGACCCCCCTCCCTCCAAAATGGGAGTAATTATCACAGAAGAAGTCAGAAGTCATTGGATTTTTCAGGAACTTTCTTTGTGGGTTGCTCTGGTTTTCACCTGGAGCTCCACTGAAGGGCATGGCCTTGGTCTGGCCTTGACCCACTCAGCCACATCTGGTGGGGGCCCTGTGGGTGGAGGTTACCTGTGAAGGCCTCCGGATCAATGAAGATCCACTCGATGGTCTGGCGGCCTTCCTGACTCAGCTGCAGGTTGATCTCACTGGTGCTGTAGGTCTGAGACCTGGGGGCACAGAGGGTGAAAGGCTCAACCCCCAAAGTCCAGACCTGGCCATTTGGGGGCAACAGTGGGCGTTTGGCTTCAAAAAGTTCAGTCCTGCACTTCTGGGTTCTCCATAAAGCCCTGGTTGTGGGGTTGCTGAGAGTGTGGGGAGAATGGGCTTTTGGAGAGCCAGGATGTTTGAGTCAAAGGGCCAGAGGCTGCTGTTCCATGCGGTTGTCCGACCAAAGTACCCAGGACCACTCCGGGTTTGTCCCTCTCGCTGCTGCCAGCAACTATAACATAGCAAATCCATGTCCACCTGGAGAGGCCCTCTCAGGTCTGATTATTATTTTTTTTTTAATTTTTTTAAGATGTTGATGGATCTTTATTTTATTCATTTATTTATATG